CTTCTTCTTCTTCTTCTTCTTCTTCTTCTTCTTCTTCTTCTTCTTCTTTCTTCTTTCTTCTTTCTTCTTTCTTCTTTCTTCTTTCTTCTTCTTTCCAGTTGCTCCATCACCATCATCATCATCAGCCTCTCTCTCTCTCTCTCTCTCTCTCTCTCTCTCTCTCTCTCTCTCTCTCTCTCTCTTTCTCTCCTCCAGGGCTTGTCTTTCCAACTGTTTTGCTGCCTCATCCATGGAGCTTCTCGATTCTTTCTCAGGTTCTTGCTGCCCTGCAACAGCCCCTTTACTCTGCTTCCTCCGCCCTAGAAGCAGCTCCCTCTTCCCTGTCGTCTGGGTCCAGGTCGCCTTTCAGGTGGCTCCCAGAGGCCTCCGCCTCCTCCACACCCGCCATGATGCCTGAGAGAGCGCGAGGGAGTGCGACCGAGCGGCGAGGGCCGCCTGCTGCTGCTCAAGTTTCTCATATTTGTTCTGATGTTTTCTAGTTCGTTATGCTGTGAAAAGAGGGAAAGAAAATGAATGTCTCAGTGCAAAGCCTGCTTTGTGATGTACTGTGCTGTGGAAAAGTCCACACAAGGAAGTCAGTGTTTGCCCTAGAAGTAATCTGGAGTCAGTTGGTACCCGGTTCCTGTGTTGCAATCACAAGATTATGTGGCACGGTTGCATCAGGCAGGGGTGGGACATGCAGGCTAACCACTCGGCAGGGGTGGGGCATGGACCCACTGACTAGCACACCAGGAAGCCTGCTTCTTTTTTAACTGAGAGCTGTGGTTGATAGCATGAAGAAGAATCCCTTTCACTGAAGCACTGGGTAATGCTGCATCTGAAATCCTACTCAGTTGACAGAAGGTAGAAATAAAGACCCTCCCCATGGGCTGGGGAGATAGCTCCGTAGAATAAGTGCTTGCCTGGCAAGCACAAGGGTCTGAGTTCAATCCCCAGTTCTGAGAAAAAAAAAAAAAAGAAAGAAAGAAAAGAAAAAGAAGAAGAAGAAAGAAAGACAGGAGACAGGAAAAGGAATGTTGCAGGATGGTCATGCTATAAGGTTGTATATGGTTAGATTTCTGGACTTATGTGTAAACATAAGAATTATATAATTCTTTATGCCTATTTTTAAAATATATTCTAATTTTTAAATATTTTTTCATCATATTCTGTAGGGACTTAAAGTTGAACATATCAATACTTGATAAAAAATACCTGTTCCATGTTATGCCTAAGATGT